CCCCAAAACCCCAAAACCCCAAAACCCCAAAACCCCGCAGCATTAGGCCCAAATAACTTAATATTAAATTTTATTTATGATCAAATTCTCCAAAATGAAAAAGGACGATGAACTGCTTGAAAAGCTAAGAAGTAATCAAAACTGCCCCTCATATTACCTCAAAATCCACTTCGCACGCTAAGAATTCTCTTCCATGCTAATTTTCCTGTCAAATTCTAAAATCCCTTATCTTCAGGCCAAATCTGAATTTTTTCTCAAATTTCTGCTGAACTTTTGTTAAAACCCTTTTGTATAGAGTTCAATCCAGACCTAGACTCAAAGACTATCACTGTAAGTTATCTCTCAGGAAGCTATTTACACAGATTTTGAACTAAAACTTACCCTAGAACAAATAATTTACATATTTTAGAGCACCTATATCGACAAGAATGGGCATAAATAAGGTCAAAACTTACCTCAAAGAGAAGTACCTCGGCAAAGGAGGGTTCGCCTACTGCATGCAAGTAGTCGACCTTGACGACCACCGTGTAAGATTTCATCAGTTTTGACCCTCATAGCCTAATAAAAGATATGCCATGAAAATCATGCCCAAGACTATGAATGGTAAAACCAGGAGTAAAGAGAAAATTCAGAGCGAAGTCGAGCTCTTAGCTCAAATGAACCATCCCAACGTCGCTAGGCTTGTCAGAGCCTTTGAAAATGACGCTAATGTGTATATGGTCATGGAACTCTGCGAAAACCAAAGCTTAATAGAGCTCATGAGGAATAGAAAAAGACTCACAGAAATTGAAGTCAGAAGCTACATTGCTCAGCTAGTCGGAGGTATCCAGTACATCCACGCTAAGAACATTGTTCACAGGGATCTTAAGTTGGGAAATCTGTTCCTGACACAAAACATGCAGTTAAAGATAGGAGATTTTGGGCTCTCAGAGAGGATTACTTATCCAAATCAAAAATTAAATTCTTTATCTGGAACTCCTAACTATATTGCACCTGAAATTCTGACTAAGACTGGACACTCTTATGAGGTAGATATCTGGGCTGTCGGAGTTATCGCATACACCATGCTGGTAGGCTCTCCTCCATTCCAAGCCAAGACATCCAAAGCTACCTGCAGCAGAATTAAACAAGTGCTATACTCAGTCCCGAGACACTTGCAGCTGAGCGAATCTTGCATAGATTTTATCCGATGTTGTTTGCAGAAAAATCCTTTCGATAGGATTAAGATTGATGAAATGTTTGATCACGAGTTCTTACAGATGCCATACCCTAAACTGTGCCCAATGAGCACTCTTTTCCAAGCCCCAAAAGAGCTAAAGATAGCATACAGCACCTGCAATGGTGGGCTATCGAACGCTAATAGAGCCAAAAGTGTGACCCAAATGCGAAGAGGTACTAGATCCAACCAGAGATTTGTCGAAGCTACTGATGAAGATATTGCCAAAGACAACCTCGAAAGAGACAGTAAGAAGCCATCTCTAATCCCTCTAGGAAGTATTAAAAAGCAAAGTAAAGTGGATTTGAAAAAGGTCAACAGAAACATTTTCTCATCGACCCCAATTGTCGAGAAATTAGCTAATGAGAAGCAGAAGTTTAGCACAAAGATGAACATTTCTTCTCTGCAGAGCAAATACCATCCTATCAATAATATCGATATTCCAAAAGTGGAAATCTCGACTGGTGGTAGTACTCCAGTAAGCCCCTTTTCGCAGCTGGTTTTTATTTCTATAGTTCAATAACTCCTCCAGCTCAATTACGAAGCTAAAGTACACTGTGGTTACAAAGTACATGAACTTGCCCTCAAAATCAGGAATTGGCTATCAGCTCTCTAACGGAGATATTGGAATATTGTGCAATAATGGAGATAAGATGCTTCTGAAGCTCAAATTTGACAAGATTTTCTACTTTGACCAGTACGATATCTTGATGTATACCTGAAAATACTCTGAAGCCTTCCATACTCATGATAATCTACAGATGAAAAGGGCAAGATCCGACAATATCCATAAAGGTAAGCTCCATAGTGTTATACTCTAGTCTGTGACTGAGTCGATGAGTCATGTGAGTGCTCCCAAGAAGAGGAGCTAAATCGGCAAGAGCTGTTTAGGACTAACTCTGAGGTTCCTAGGTTCCAAAACTCGCCTGAATTCCTCAAACTTCTGAAACTGATTCAATTCACTGAGCAACAAATGCCATACATCAAGCATAGCAAGGTCTGGAAGGAATTCGAGACTCCTAACGACGTCGATAAACCAGTGTACATTAAAAAGTGGAGTAACTGAGATAACAGACTTGTGTTCAAACTAAATGCCCAAGTCTTGGAGAATAGCAACTCCTCTTCCCATTCTGAAGAAGACAACTGCATCAAAGTCCTCCAAATTGTTAAACGGAATAATACTGAAATTGTACTGAAATATAACGCGGGAAATGCAGATTTAGTTGATGACCAGAAAACTCTCATCACTGCTAAAGTAACTGACATGTGCAAGAGGATCATATTCTCTGGAAAGACCAGTCTTAGGCAAAAGGTCAAGGCTCTTGAGAAACTTTTCCAAGAGCCGAACCATCGGATTGAAGAGTTGAAGACAAAATATGGGAATAAGAACAAAAGCCCATCGAGGAAAACACCTTCAAAAGGTAAGATTCCTATTCCCTAACATTTTAGAGCCTGCAAAAGCAGTAATTCGGTTATCAAATTTGGGTGAAAAGTCAACACGAGGGCAAAGTTCTGAAATAAACCCACGGTCAAACAATGCTTCTCTTAAAACGAGTCAATATTTCAAGCAGATGATGACTACGGGCTCCAACAAATTCACTCACTTAGACACTTTTACTCACGGTTATGAATTTGGTAAGCATTATTTTTGCTAATCTCTCTAGCTGGGAATCAAGGAAGGTTCAGGCAATCAGATAGTTGGATAAACACGCCTACGAAATATGCATAAATTGACATAATTTAAGCGTTAACCTGCCCACTAATAAGCTTTGCCTTATTCTTGGAAGGATTCAGTACATATTTGTCTAGATAAAATATAAGCAAAAGTACTCATTACTCTGCTATAAGGCTCTTTATGCACCAAGAGGTGGTAGGATAGTCTCAATAAGGCATATTAGCATGGCTTCTGATTGGTACCAAAACTAGTAGAACTTTTAAGGAATTTTTATTTACTTTATTTTCCACTCTTAACACATTCCTTCAAAGATGGGTTTTAATACAACGTCTCTTTATTTGAAAGTTTTTACTCTGAGAAATAAAATTTGAATACTTAAAACCATGCTTGATATTAGAAATATCCTTGTAGCTGCTAACTTAGAATAGAGAGTCTGCTACTACATCTGCATTGCTCGGAGAGTTTAAGAAAGTATTGAGTTAACTCATTTTATTCTCAAGTTTTAGGATAACTAAGCTAACAAAGCAACTTAGGAAATAAAATCCCCACATATTTTATTCAGCCCACGAACAGATGGCTGGGGTTTTGGGGTTTTGGGGTTTTGGGGTTTTGGGGTTTTGGGGTTTTGGGGTTTTGGGG